TTGATTTCTTTCTCACAAAAATGTTCCTTATTTCAAATTGTCCCGAGGAGATTAAAAAAGAGACTATTAAAGTAGATTTGTGTAATTTTTACACCACTGGTTGTCACCAAATGGAAGTGGGGGAAAAAATGAGAGTGAAGACCATTTTCAGTCAGGTTTCTGAAACACTCCCTCTGTCTGCCATTGGCTGATCACACAGGTAGCCCCGCCCCAAACAAACACTATTGGTTGAGCCAGTATTGCTGTGTCAGATTATAATATAATCTGATTATAATCTTTTTTTCCCCTAATATTTTTTTATGGAGATAATTGGGATCACATTAAAATCATTTGTTAATTTCATAGAAAACATTGTGTTTTGAATCAGAAAATCACTCTCCATTTCCAGATGGCATGATTATGTGTTGAAATGTGTTTCATGTGAACTTTTGCCCCACGTGTTTAAAATCAGGTTTTTAGGTCAGGTCTCGAAGGTCAGGCTTTTGTCTGGTTTACCTCCCCACCTTTATCTTTTTAGCATGCTTCTATCCGCTCTCTGTAAACAAGAGGGTTGCAAGGGACTGAGGCTCTCTGTGTTTCCATGGAGCAGCTGCAGGAAGAGACTGTGAGAACCACATCCACTCCACAATGCTCCTCTTAAACCAAAGGCAGGAATGTGTCTGCTCAGACATGTCTGCTCACATAAACTTGCTTTTATACACAGAGACCCATGCGGACTTTAAACACACACACACACACACAATACCAGACCATAACAGCCAGAGCCTATTAAACCTGACCAAAACCAGCCATTTCAGCATTCACATCCTTAGCACATCATACTGTGAAAAGTGACTGAGTAATGTACTGCCAACCGTGAAAAGGGAACCACAATTCTGTTTGCTAACAGCACAAACCCTATCAAATATTTTGGCAAACAGAGATAAGGTGCAATATGCAATACATTGCTATGTCGAACACATGAGAGGAGGAGGAACACTAGAAGTTATTATGCAAACAAATCAACATTTAATCAGACTTACTGTGCACACTTTCAGTCAGTATAAACAAACAAATGAGAAAATGAGTACAAACAACAAATTAGAAATGATAATGAGGTCTTATAAAGTAGTATGTGATTTGTGCTTATGTTTTATATTCCACAATATTGTGCCAATTTTCACTTTAGTTAATATAATTATTTAATCAAAGGTGAGTGAAAATGATGTGTAAATAGTGCATTCAATAATATAATGTATACTAAAATGTACTTTACCATTGTACCAGCTTACAAGTCCATCAAGAAACACATTTTGAAAGCAGACTTGATCGCAGATCCAGGAAATGGAAGCCCTATAGAACAGCCAGCTTACAAGTCCATCAAGAAACACATTTTGAAAGCAGACTTGATCGCAGATCCAGGAAATGGAAGCCCTATAGAACAGAATGTGTCAGATGCAAGAAAATAAGGCCAACTAATGAGGACAGCTAAATATACCACTACAGGCGTTCTGCTCTCTCGCTTTCTCATCTCACTGTGTCTCTCTGAAGGTTACCTTGCTTTCATTACACCAGGACACATTTAATATCAGCACTATGATCAGGCCCAGTGAGCCCATACAGAGCTTTATCTAGAGTTTGGACCGTCGTAATCTTCATAGAAGACACACTAATTTATGTGACCAAGGCTAAACTACAAAAATTTTAAAATGTTGTCATTACTTGTTCACCTTCATGTTGTTCCGACCCCATTTTACAGTCCAGTTTATGAACCTCTGAATTTTTGGTGCAACCCGACGCTGGACACTATGAATTATCTGAGTATGAGTTTGGAACAAACAGGGTGAACAAACGGTTCCTTTAGACCTGGTACAGAAAATTGCGACTTAATACTTATTCCTTGGCAGAATTAAATTAAAATAATTTCCATCCAAACCATGCAATCTATGTTCTTTTACATGGTATTTTTCGTTAACTCATTGTCTTTTACTCTAGAGATTTGAATTGCACTCAAGAGAAGCAAAGATTAAAGACTGAACGTATATAGATATATCCTTTAAGAGAGATCAGTCTTTATTGTGTTTCTTTGATTAAAAGCAAAAGTAATAATGACAAGAAATAAAATAAATAAGCAGCTATTAACAGCATGAAGTAATTTATCCACACACTCCACTTGTTAGAGTTGTTTCTGTATGCTAATGACTCTATGCCATTGAAAAGCAGTCGTATGTGACAGTGTCATTAATGGCTTCTCGAGTCTCATTCGCTCTCTGTAAATGGTGGCGGTCTTGCTCTTGATTAAAAGACTTTAATAAGACGTACATCTACTGTTCTTTCACACTTGACTGACTGGCCCATACAAACATTTAAGTCTCAAGTTTGTGTTCATTACATAGCACACGTACTGAGATATGGGTTGCATAGGGGATTCTTTAATTATAGAGGCACTATGAACACTAAAAATAGCCATCTCTCCATTTCACTTTTTTTTTTTAAGATAATAATAATAAAAAAGAAATCAGTTGTTTTTTAAATTAAAATTATTATATGGAACACTTTGGCACTGATGCCTAAACAACTGCAGTTGTTTAAAATCTTTTAATTAATTATTAAAATTAATATTTTAAGTAAATATTTTAATTAATTACAGATGTCTGCTATCTACTCCACTGCCCTGCTAAAGATACTACTTAAAGTAAAGATACTTCTCGTTTAATATGTATTTTATATTATTATACTGTATGTATATTAAATGTAAAATATATATTTTATTTTTACATTTGTTCTCTAGGATTTTTAGTGTTTTGCTCAAGACAGCAAAATTGGGGACAGTGATACTTTGTTATAAAAAATTGTAAACATACAGTACTGCAAATGCACTGAAAATACCTGTATAATTTAGTAAATTCTTAGGAAAAAGTGCAAGGTTGGACTTCTCTGGTTTTAATGCTTTTTATAAATTTGTTATAGAGGAAATAGTAATTAAGAGACACAATTTTGAGGCTATTATAATCTGCCCTTTAAAACTAGAATATTTTCATTTTTCTTTCAATTCATACTAGGGAACAGAACAGTTCCCCTAATCGAAGAATCACTCAATGTACTGAAGTCGACTGCAAGCAATAATTGGAGCAATATAAAAAAACAGTCCCATTATTTTTATACAGTAATAGCCTGAGGAAAGGCAATTTGAAAATGCATTTTTATCTGTACTTGACATCCCTTTTTACCTATTTTGTTGTAATACAGCTGGTTTAAAATGCACTTTTATCTGTACTTGACATCCTTTTTTTTTTTTACCTATTTTGTTGTAATACAGCTGGTATAAAATGCATTTTTATCTGTACTTGACATCCTTTTTTACCTATTTTGTTGTAATACAGCTGGTAATTTAAAAATATATATATATATTCATGGAGTTCATGTGGTATATATATGGGTATATTAAAAGCATGTCTTGTGGATGACATTGGCATTGAATATTTATAAAAGTTTGCTGTGTATGCTTGTATCAGCATTGGCACATTGGCCAAGATAGCAACCTAATGTAAAATGCCAGAATTTGTTGATTCATCAACTATTTACCAGATGACCTGCCCTGACCCATCAAATGACCTGACCTCTTCTTGCCAATCTGAGTGCTAGATCAATGCAAATGTTGAAACTGGTTCGAGATGTTTAATGTTTATAAATGGTTTAAACTATGCTGCTTGACCTAGTTTATTTGACTACTAGTGCTGGGCAACATACTCATTAAGGACAGGTCTAAGAGCAGCTGCATACTTTTGCTTTATGATCTGTAAAATGCCATGGAGAAGCTTCCATCGTATGAAATGTATACGTGGAGGTGACAGGCTGAAAGGTGTCTTGGGAAATAGTGACAGTCCGGGTTGGGGGTGGTAACGAAAATAGAGCTGTTGTCGTGGATGGAAGAAAAAATTCCAGAGGCTCAGAGCCAGATGGTCATTGATATAGAGGTGGCCCAGTTACAGTATGTTGTACCACCTCAGGAACATGAGGACACACTGTACTTACAGTCTTTTGCACCTATGTTTGTCTTGGTGTGATTTATGAGGATGCACAGCATGAGTGACACAATGACTCATTAGGTGCCAGCAAACATCCCTTATTAGTAATACTGTTGCTCTTGCTTATGTACTCCTGAGGCTATTACCAGACAACAGGACCAAGATGGCAGTGATTTAAAAAAAAATGTTATTACCACCCTCTATTTTTTATGGGATTTTAATTCACTAATTTAACTCTGATCAATCATAAAGTCATAATTTGGTCAGCAAGTCTTCATAACTAAAAGGCCTTGAGTTGATTACACTGATTGGGATGCGTCTTTCATCAATAAATTTGATTATGGGTTATAATCTTCATCTTTTACTTCTGCTGACTTCACATTATTTAGGAACAAAGACGTTTACAGTCTTCCAAAGTAGAATTAATTTCATCATCCCATTAGTCAACATTGAAAAAAATAGTGGATCAAAAGATTATATTTATCTGCATTGTCTTTTCGATATGTATCTAAATCTTTATGATTAAAAAGACATGTCTAGTGACTTTTTCACGTTTTTGGTAATTAAAATAATATAACAATATAATAGTGCAATTTAAAAATGTATAATTTCATGTATGGAGTCATATAGCTGAATGTTTATTTTAATTTATTTTATTTTACTGTTTAACATTGCATTTTTGTTTATGCCATGTTTTCATTTTTTTCACAAGTATTATTTTGAGATCAAACAATAATGTAATAATGAACCGCATTGTTGTTAATGAAAGATTGATGCTAACTCTTGTGCTAACTCTATGTAGTTTTTTTCCTAATCTAATTTCACATAATTCTTGAAAACACTTCACTCGATGAGCATCACTTTGTAATTACTTTTTCCAGAAATCTTGAAGAAAAAGGGACGAATTTTTATAAATGAACTTCTACAGTTCGTGCAAGACTCTCATAATGTGTTACTTTTCTATCAGATTCTAATTGATTCTCCTTTTTTCAGTCTGTTCTCAGTTCTCAAGAGGAGTTTATGCTATTTTTGGATTTTATGACAAAAAGTCAGTGAACACAATTACGTCGTTCTGCGGGACACTTCACGTCTCTTTCATCACACCAAGCTTTCCCTTGGATGGAAATCAGCAGTTTATCATTCAGATGCGACCAGACATCAAAGGACCTCTCCTGAGTCTCATTGAGTACTACAAATGGAACAAGTTTGCCTACCTGTACGACAGTGACCGAGGTAAGGCACTGCACTGCATTATTCAACACCATATGAACGTGACGTGTGTGGGCTGAGGAGAAATGACAGATTTACTTTTAAATAGGATTCAATTTGTGGTTTGCCAGTGGGGTGGCTTTCAGGCACATCAGCTGGATTGTTGTTTAGCCCAAATGATCACTTTTTGATGAAGGCATTTCTTTAGCATTTTAAAATAAATATGAGTAAAGTGCCTCATCACTTATGTGTATTTAAAGGTGGTACATAGGGATGATTCAGCATGGGGCGTCGTTAAAAGGCACAGGGCCTGGGACAGTATTATAACTCATACAGTAGTATGATGCTATATAAAAGCAATTGACAATATTTGATGGTGCAGATGGGATTATGGCTGTTGTATTCAGAATATTCATTTTTTATGGCTATTAGCCTGTCAAAAGGCATATCTACAATAAAACACAGGTTTATTTTGCACCTTGAGCTGGAGTGAGCAGGATCCTGTGGGCATTATTAAAGGTTCATTTTGTGTTTGTTGGCCTTTGTTTCTCAGTTTTCTATTTGTCTCAAGCTTGTCTGTCTCTCTCACTCTCCATTTTTCCATTCTCCCTTTCTGTCTCACTCATTTTCCTCTAAGTCATCCGCCGATTCTCACTTTATTTGATGGTTGTGGAGGTTGAGAGCTGTGTGGCACAAATGAGAATAGCTGACGTGAGTCTCTAAGGACTGTGATGTCAAATGTCTGTAATGGTGATGTTTTATTAACTGTGAGGTTGCTACTTTTAACTTTCCTGTGATGAAGATCGGTATGCACACATTGTGTCATTTATCATTTATGAATATTAATAACGCATACATAACCCTGTGTTCACAAAAAAAAACCTTTTTGTGTGTGCATTTGCATGTATGCCTTTGTGACTGTTTGCTTTTGTTGCGGGCTGAATCTGCATGATTTATTTCATACTCATGTGGTGGTGTATGTGGGATGAAATATGCACCTTGACTCACACGTTTACATCACTTGTCATACTAATTAGGTCTATCGACGCTGCATTCCCATGGCAACCACTGTGCTCTGTGTGTTATTAATGTGTCAGTGTTACTGTGTGAGAGCAGCAGCACAGCGCCTGTGGTCATGATGCATTCCACTGGTGAGATTTGGACATAAATGCAAACTTAATGCCACATCCAATATTCCTTCAGTCCTCCATTTGTGAAAATAACGCAGAAGATTGAGGGTACATAATAGGATATGTGTTGCATCTTATAGGATAATATATATTTTCAGATGGTTTAACATGCTGTGACATGTGAAATACAGGGAGAAGAAGAAGAGAACATAGAACATAATTTACAGAGTTTAAAGTCAATTCAAATCACTTATTTCTAAAGCGCTTTTATGCAATGCAGACAACAGTGTCATTAGCTTATATGCACTTATGTATAGCAATATACAGTACCACTCAAAAATTTAGAGTCTTAAGATTTTTGTTGTTGTTTTTGAAAGATGTTTCTTATGCTAACCAATGCTGTATTTATTTGATTAAAAATACAACAATAAGAGTAATATTGTCAAATATTATTACAATTTAAAATAACTACTGCATTTTCAGTTTTATTTTTATTTATTTTGAAAATGTAATTTATTTCTATTATACAAAGCTGAATTTTCAGCAGTCATTACTCCAGTCTTTTGTGTCACATGATTCTTCAGAAAATATTCAAATATGCTGATTTGGTGATCAAGAAACATTTATTATTATTATCATCAATGTTGAAAACAATTGTGCTGCTTAATATTTTTGTGGATTTTCAGGATTTCATTTTTTTTTCTAAGAAATAACAGCATTCATTTGAAATAGAAATCTTAATAAATGTCTTTACTCTAACTTTTGATCGATTTAATGAGTCCTTGCTGAATAAAAGTAATAAAATTACTTCTTTATTAAAAAACAAACAAACAAATAAACAAACTATCAAATCAAACTTGAACTTTCATAAGTCCATCACATACTACTGCATTTCTTTAGCCTGGATAACCACAGATAGAAAGTCACAGATAGAGGCATACACACTTGTTGCTGCATTAAATCTCTTGTGCATGTTTTAGTAAAGAAATGGCTGATGGGTTATTAAAGAGTTTATTCAAACCTGATATTGAGCACTTTAGCAGGAAACAAATGCATAATTTATAGTCCGAGAAAGGCTTTTATTTTTAAACCACAGAGTGTGGAACTGAAGTGACTGGTGGCCAGGGTTGTAGTTGTTGTGCTTATATAAATTATGTGAAGGTTCCAGTTTAGAGTTTTGCTTAGTGGTGTCGATGTGGAGACATGATGGATTCTTACAGCATGTTGGTTGCTTTCTGCATGACAGTTGATCTCTTTAGATACTTTCTTCATCACTCACCTGACGGAAATGCCAGCATCGCTTTTGAACTGGATACTGATGAGCAGTGAAGTGACTGTAGCTGAGGGTCATTTCTTCACCCTGCCTGCTGCCCATGTGGATTTGACGTGTCGCTGTCCGTGGTCCTGAAGTGCATGAGACAAGGGACCCAGAGCAACACTGACACACACATACAGCCTCACAAATGCTCTCTCGTGCTTGTTAGGTGATGTGTTGTCATCAGGGACAGGTGCATGACAAAAAAAATAACAACAGAGAAATATGCTTACAACTGGAATACATGCTAGAGCACCAGAATCCCTGTTTCAGCAGGTCATTAAATGTAAACTTTGTCTGGATTGTGCATTTCTTTTTTTGTTTGAGCTTGAAGGATATTAAAGACAGTCACTGCTCCTTGTTTACTTTGACTTTATCTTCTGTTATTGGTTTGCTTTGTTTTAAAGTGTCTTATATAATCAATAAAAGATTGACTGTGCACAAAGAATAATTCTCCCTCACTGTGAGACTCATCCATAACCTCTGTATAATTGGGATGGCTAATTAAATCAGCCTTACACCTCTGACGATCTACAAAGATCAAGCTGTGTAGTGCTTATAGAGAGACAATGAGATTATGTAATACAGCTGACATCACAGTTCAATGAGGGAGACCCCATACTGGGAAACCAATAGACAGATATTGAACCACAACCATTATTCACTAAGGTTTCATTCATGCTTATGTAACAAGATTATGGAGCACTGATTTAGAATAACATAATACATGCTACAAATACACTACTGTTTAAAAGTTTGCACTCAGTAAGATTTTTATTTATTTATTTAATGAGTAACGATGCACAAAATTGCTGACAGTACAGGTATAATGTTACTAAAAAAAAATTAAATAAATGCTTAACTTTCTATTCATAGCATATTAGATTGATTTTTTGTGGATCATGTGACACTGAAAACTGGAGTAATGTAAATTCAGCTTTGGCATGACAGGAATAAATTAAATTTTTTAATATTTTAAAAAGAAAACAGTTATTTTAAATTGTAACAATATTTAACAATATTAAGTTTGTTACAGTATTTTTGATGAAATAAATGCAACCCTGTTTAGCATAAGAGACTTATTTCAAAAGCATAAAAATATTACAGACCCACACTTTTGAATGGTAGTTTAGATGTCAAATGCATTATTATTGTTGCTGTTGTTGTTATTTTGTTTGTTGTTGTTGTTTTCATTTTTCCCAAGTAAGTGTTACAAGGTTAAATCGTTTTTACATTTCTAATGAAATTGATAGCAAATTAAATAAATTCCTTTTGAGTCTGGATTTCCCTGCATTTAAATGGTTAAATCTTCAGCTTCTATATCACCCATCAGGCATTCCTAGATTCAGAAGTGATTTTGGAGTGTCCTGGAAGAATAATGAGCAGAAGTGCTATCATCTCGTTTGCTCCTTAGGTTTTAAGTGACCCACATCAGGATTTTCTAGATTCAGAAGTGATTTTGGAGTGTGTTGGAGTGAATGCTATCATCTCATTTGTTAGCATTAATAGCCTTCACTAACAAGTTTTTAATCACTTATCTCCAAGAGTAGCTGTAAGCCTTGATCCTCATGTCTCTAAGCCGCACATTTAACAAAGGTTAAACACGGGAGCCCACTGTGCCTCGCACTCCCAGAGATTTTACCCACAATTAATGTACTTGGTTGAAACACAATACACTGGTTTCATATTCTTAAAAATCAAATACACATATCTAGAATACAAACACTCACTCACATTGACTATTTATAAACAAGTGCTGTAGCTGTTATGCCGTCACGCTTAGTTGTTTACCTCCCCTGTGACTGACAGAAATGAAAATGCCAATTTTAGAGCCTTATTATCTGTATCAAATCCTCCATGGAGTATTATTAAGGACGTAACTGGCAACCAGTACTTCAAAATGGTGTGAATCATGCAAAGAAATGGAAACAATTACATAAGAAAAATAACATATCATGACTTGCCTAGCTCAAACAATCCAAAAGTGAAGCATCTGAAATGTTGCATATTTCGTTGCAGAGGTACCTTTATTAAAACTCTTTTTAATCAGCCTAATTTGACCTTTGTAGCTTTGATAGATTCCTAGCATCTTCCAAAAACCTAATCTGTTCCTCTTCATCATAATCAGGACTTACCACACTCCAAGTTGTGCTGGACACAGCAGCAGAGAAGAAATGGCAGGTGACCGCCATCAACGTGGGCAACATGAAGGATGAGAGAAAGGATGAAGCATATCGCTCACTCTTTCAGGACCTAGAAAACAAGAAGGAGCGGAGAATCATCCTTGACTGTGAGCAGGACAAAGTTAAAGATATCATGGAACAGGTATACATATCAACGTATGCATAAACACTTAATAATTCTGATGTAATCAACATTATGACATTGTCACCTTAGCCTGCAGTATTTCAGCTAAAAAACATGCTCCTAATATGTGCTGGTTTAGCTGCATATGTATTTAGGTTGTTGTCATTTGTATGGGTGCTGAAATAATGCAGACATTGCATGCAAACAAGCAAATCAAAGCAAAACAAATACTTCAGCATTTAATAGTTGGGGTCAGCAAGATGTTTTTTTTTCTTTAACTTGGTTTCCTTTCATTAACCAATAATCGATTTTAAATAAATTGATCAAAAGCGACATATATAATGTTAATGTAAATGCATATATAATGTTACAAAAAAATTATATTCCAAATAAATGTTGTTCTTTTGAACTTTCTAATCATCAAAGATTACTGAGAAAAAGAAATACATTAAGCAGCACAACTGTTTTCAACACTGATAATAATCAGAAATGTTTAAAATCAGCATATTAGAATGATTTTTGAAGAATCATGTGACACTGAAGACTGGAGTAATGGCTGCTGAAAATTAAGCATTTCATCACATAATAAATTACATGTTAAAATGTATTAAAATAGACAGCAGTCATTTTAAATTGTAAAAACATTTCCCAATATTGAAAGTATTTTATTTATAATTTAATATTTTTTATTAAATAAATGCACCATTGGTGAGCATAAGAGACTTATAGACCCCAAACTTTTAAACAGTAATGTAAAAAAATAAGAAAGTGACATTCAAAAAGTAATTTTTGTCTTCAATCACAAGTCTACATAATACTTATAAAAATAATAATGAAAGCAACTAAGTACATTTTAAGAGCACCATAACTATGAATCATTAATTAGCCGGCACAAACAGATGCCATTAGTGGGCAGAAAAGTCCTCATGAGATGGGATTTACAATCACACTCGCTGCACCCTAAGGGAATAGCTATTGATTTGTATTTAAGGCCTGCATAAGTGTGTTTAACCAACCGCCACAATCAATTCAACTGATCTGGACTCAATAATATAGCTTTATCTACACACACTTGCACATGCACATCACAAGTACCTTGCTGTCAGCACACAAACCTCTCAAGCTGCTTTTATTTCAGTCCATCTCTCTGGCTGGCATTGTGGAGCAGTACACATTCTCTTGTCATTATCTAAAATACATTTATGAAGTGTAGTTTTATTTCATTTATTTTTATTTCATTGATTTGATGAGCTTCATTATTCTCTTTGCAGGTCATAACTATTGGCAGGCATGTGAAAGGATATCACTACATCATAGCAAACCTGGTAAATTATCTCAAATGTAACACTACCAAAGAAAAACATGACTGTTTGAAAATGTAACAAGCAAAAATGCTGAGAAAATCATGTCATGTTTTCAGGGTTTTGTGGATGGAGATCTTTCAAAAATCCAATACGGTGGAGCCAATGTGTCAGGCTTTCAGATTGTGGATTTCGATGACCCCCTGGTATCTAAATTTGACCAGCGCTGGGAAGCCCTGGAGGAAAAAGAATATCCTGGAGCAGACAGCAAGATACGGGTGAGATCTGTGTGTGTGTGTGACTGTCCCTTTTACTGTTTCAGACAGCTTCACTAAATATGATTAAAAGAGATGTTCAGGTAATTGCTACATGAACATAAAACCTCTTCATTTAAATGTCTGTATAGTTCAGGCCATTTGCAGGACAAGCTTGTTAGTCATTTTCTACTCCAGATAAAATGTAGTCTCATCTGTCTTCTCGCCAATTTACGAAGACTAAGTAGGTGCTTAATTTCCTGGGACTGAAATCAAGTGTTTCATTCATATAACTGTTGTTATTCTTTCCAGAGACAGCTTTATCAAATAAATGTGAACATGGCTTCCCTATATGTGTATTTAATGTTTATATTATGATCTAATATAGTTTTTATGAATTGGTGACGATAATCCTGGAACACACATTCAATCTAGAAATACTATATCACCTAAAATACTATATCAACTATTTTTCAGATTTTCTTCTCCAACCCTTTTAACTAATTCCTCACTATCTCTCTCTCTGTATCCAGTACACTTCAGCACTGACGTATGACGCAGTTCAGGTGATGACTGAGGCCTTTCGTTACCTGCACAAACAGCGAATTGACATCTCCCGTAGAGCTAACACTGGAGACTGTCTGGCCAATCCTGCTGTACCATGGGCACAAGGGGTGGAGATAGAGCGTGCCCTAAAACAGGTGACAAGTCATTGTGCCAACCTGCCCCATGAGTACAACCAAATTTATAGAATTTTATTGTTTAAATTGGGTCGTTAAAGTGTTTGTAAAATAAAATATTTGTTTAAATAAGATTCTGAATCCCAGATTGTCACTTTTGGAGGTCACAGATATTTGACCTTTCTTTGAAAAAGAAAAGAAACACTTCCTCATAAATGATTTTCCGCGCTTGTCATATACTTTTTATGCAGGTGAGAGTTGATGGTCTCACTGGTAACATTCAGTTTGACCAGTATGGAAAGAGGGTAAATTACACTGTCAATGTCATGGAACTGAAAAGCAATGGACCAGTTAAGGTAAGGCTTTGTTCTAAGAAAAGTGTATAGAAAGGAATGCATAATTTATTACTTCACGTTATAAGTGTTACAGGTTACTCTCAAATGCCTCTCTTTTTTCAGATTGGCTATTGGAATGAAGTTGATAAAATGGTTGTGACAAAGTCTGATCTCTTCCCAAATGATACAATGGGGTTGGAAAACAAGACTGTGATCGTCACCACTATTCTAGTAGGTATCAGTTGTGGTTGTCCATACTAAATGCTGTAGCATTGAAATATGTGCTCTGTAGTAAAGCACACTTCTTTGACAATGTGTTCCCTGCTGTCTTTTTCAGGAAGCACCGTATGTAATGCTAAAGAAGAATGCTGACCTTTTTGTGGATAATGAAAGATATGAGGGGTACTGTGTGGACTTGGCAGCTGAAATAGCAAAACACTGTGGATTTAAATATCAGCTGAAAATAGTTGGAGATGGCAAATATGGAGCCAGAGATGCAGAGACGAAGATCTGGAATGGAATGGTTGGAGAGTTGGTTTATGGGGTAAGAAAGTTGGGCATAATTGATAAGTAGTTTCTGTCGGTCTGAAAAGTAGTCTGAACTATTAACATCAACATTTCCTATGATCAATAAACATTAAATCTCTTTGATTTTAGAAAGGAGACATAGCAGTGGCTCCACTGACTATCACTTTAGTCAGAGAAGAAGTCATTGACTTCTCAAAGCCATTCATGAGTTTGGGCATCTCCATCATGATCAAGAAGCCTCAGAAATCCAAGCCTGGTGTTTTCTCATTCCTGGACCCTCTGGCCTATGAGATCTGGATGTGTATCGTGTTCGCCTACATCGGCGTAAGCGTGGTGCTTTTCCTGGTCAGTCGTTTCAGTCCATATGAGTGGCACACAGAGGAATATGAGGATGGCCAGATACAGACCAACGAGTCAACCAACGAGTTTGGGATTTTCAACAGCCTTTGGTTCTCTCTTGGAGCTTTTATGAGACAAGGCTGTGATATTTCACCAAGGTTTGTTCTTGGTCTTTAAACTTCTTTATATTTCGGCATGCAGTTTCTTTAAGACGTGCTGGCTCTATAAAAGCAAAAGCATTTTTGTAATCACTTTGTAGATTACTTGGTCCTTGATTGTCTTGGTCAAAAGATATTATTGATTTAAGATTAATTATTAGTTATATCTATGCTGAAATAAATAAATATGCTACACTAAAATAAACTTAAGATAAAACATTACATATTTAGATGTTCGTTATTCATTATGCATGATAGACTCATCTAAGCAGGCGAAGAAAATTATGCCTAGCAGCAATTTTCACAAATACCTTAAAATCATTAGTGAAGCATCTTTTCAGACATCCTGTTGACTTCAAAGTCCTTAGTCACCAACTTGTTTACATAAATATCTTTTCAGAAATAGTATAAGACGTCACAGTTTCAGCAATACAATGGAGCTGCATGTCAAACGTATTTTGCTTTTATTGTAGCCTTTAGCTGTGAAAGAGATTTTTAACTGTGATGATCATGCTGTCATGTCTAATGATTCACATTGGATATTTTTCATCAGGTCTCTTTCTGGCCGCATAGTTGGAGGAGTCTGGTGGTTTTTCACCCTGATCATAATTTCATCCTACACGGCTAATTTGGCTGCCTTCCTTACAGTGGAGAGGATGGTGTCTCCAATTGAGAGTGCAGAGGACTTAGCAAAGCAATCAGAGATTGCTTATGGAACTTTAGATTCTGGTTCAACAAAAGAGTTTTTCAGGGTAAGAGCCATTTTCTCTCTGTAATTCCTAATTAATATGTCTACTTTTTCTTTAATGTTGCATTTGCAATTTGGTTTTTATTATTATTTATGTCAGTTTTAAACAGGACTGATGAAATAACACACACTTTTGTTATATGTTTTAGAGGCTAAAATAAGATGCTAAGCTAAATGCTAAATCCCAAGCTTCATTGCTGATTGTAGTCACAGTAAACTGAAAATACCTGTTTGGCTTAACCGTTGTTAGAGATTTTAAAAAGTTTATATTAATCCGGGCGTCTTTTTTCATTTCCAGCGTTCCAAAATCGCTCTTTTTGACAAAATGTGGACGTACATGAAAAGCGCAGAGCCCTCTGTATTTGTTAAGACGACAGCAGAAGGTGTAATGCGGGTGAGGAAGTCCAAGGGGAAGTATGCATACCTCCTGGAGTCCACAATGAACGAGTACATCGAGCAGCGCAAACCCTGTGACACTATGAAGGTCGGAGGGAACCTGGACTCCAAAGGCTACGGCATCGCCACCCCCAAAGGATCCTCATTAAGGTGGGTGGAATAGTATAACAATGTGTCCAATGTTGTTATAGTATCCCACCTACCCTGATGTAGCTGTGCTCATGTGTCCTGGTTTGTATAAAAGAGATAAATGTGGTAGCCGGATACATTAGAGCCAAATAAATAATGGATAA